GGCTCGAGCATCCATCGAACAGTTTGTTGGGAGTTACTGCACAGCGCGTGAGGCATCCGCTTTTCAAATCTGAAATAGTCAGATATAGACCGGAGAAGGCCATCTTCCTACTGGAGCAGAGAAGAGGGTGTGAAGACAATTCTTTAGCCTCTATTTTGGTCCTGATGTGTTATGTATGTATGTGTGTGTGTATGTATTATATATATATATATTTATATAATATATTTACAGCACAACATAACACATACTAACATATAATATAAATATATATTTATAACTAAAAACACATATCTAGGAAAGAAGTAGAATAGCACAGAAATTTAAATTAACTATAATGTAGAACATGCCTGGTACGTTTGATGAATCACTTCACTTACAGCTGCCAATAACTCAATAGTTGGGAATCTCGATTCCAAATAGACTTCTCTACTTAAAAACATGCATACGCTATAGGCCTGCGTGTGTGTGTGTGTGTGTGTGTGTGTGTGTGTGTGTGTGTGTGTGCACATGAGTACATGTGTGCTGTGTGTGTGCATATGTGTATGTGTGATTAGGCACATGTGCATGTGGACGACAGAGCGTCATTTGTCAGGAGCTGTCTACACAGCCCTTTGAGACAGGTCTCTCTCGTTGGCCTGGAACGTGCTAGTTGGACTAGGCTAATTGGCAAGCAAACCCCAGGGAATGACCTGTTTGCCTCCTGGGGCTGGTATAACAAGCACCCACCACCACTCCTAGTCTGTTTAGATGGGTTCTGAGGACTGAACTCTGGTCCCCACGCTCACAAACAAAGCACTTCACTCGCCGGACCACCTACCTAGCCCAAACGGTTTTCTTTCTGGCTGGATCTTCCCTATCTACCTGTTTACCTACTCACATCTGGCCAGCTGCAGACACCGTTGCTCTGGGTTACTACCCACTTAGCTTCCCGCCCAATGTAAACTACCTAGCACAGCTCAGTTATAGACACCTGAGAGACCACCACCAGAGGGAAGGCTACAAGGTCACGTTTGGGAACTATCTGTGTAGTTTCAGTGACTGACAGTTTTTTTTTTCTTTTTTTTTTTCTTTTTTCTTTTTGGTTTTTCGAGACAGGGTTTCTCTGTGGCTTTGGAGGTTTTCCTGGAACTAGCTCTTGTAGACCAGGCTGGCCTCGAACTCACAGAGATCCGCCTGCCTCTGCCTCCCAAGTGCTGGGATTAAAGGCGTGCGCCACCAACGCCCGGCCGTGACTGACAGTTTTATTGTGTCTGGGAAGTGGCTAGAACAGGCAGCTTACTCCCTAAGCTCTTTGACAGGTCATCCGTAGGAAATTGACCCCTGGAGAACAGACTTTTCAGGTTCTGGGACAGGTTCGTGCTATCATGTCTCTGACTTGTAGGCTTCTACAGGTCCAGGCATTTCTTCTAAGTTCATGTCTGGCCCCTTAGCTATCACACTGAGGAGGGCCAGTAATTCAGTCTCTGATCTTGAACCATATCCTTCCCCAACACATATATTTTTAACAAAACCAATTGAGCATGACTTATTTTCATAGGTCAGAGCACGGCAGTTGCCCTGGGATACTGAAATCTCAGAGCTGTGTCTCTCCCAGTTGCAAAGGATGCTATCTTGAGAAGGAATGGCGGAATGGCGTGGCAGAGCTTCCAAAAGGGAAAACGCCACCATTAAAGAGGTGAGAAAGCAATGGCTTTGTTACTAATACCTTTGTTATTTCAGGGTTCAGTAATACCCCGAAGTGTATGGATACCTTCCCTTCCCACCCCAGCTTCATTCAGGAGAATATGGCTTTGCTTTATGCAGGGGCAAAGATTTAAGAAAAACAACTTCAGGGGGGAAGAGAAGGTTTTGTGACCTGAGAATCAATTAGGCTCTGTCCAGCCCAGGCTGTACTCTAATCAATAAGAAGTGGCTATTGGAAGAGCAGCTTCTGTAAAGCTGGTTACCACACTAGCACTTTATCACAAGTGTGGATTCGCCATTTTAAAAATATACAACGCAAATCCAAGAAAGGCAGGTTTGCGTGCACCTCCCAGGAGTCAGATCTCGGTAGGCCTCCCAGCTACTGAGGGCTACTGTCTTATTTCTTGTTGCGTAACTTAGAGAAGCAGTCCTAAAGATCAAGGCACTCATGCATGCAGGCGTGTGTGCTCCCTGGTACCGTGCAAGGAAGGACTCCAGAGTTTATCTGTCTCTCTGATTCTTGGCTCTATTTGCACAGGGAGATCACCCCCAAAAGCTCTGTGGGGGTGGTCCTGATTGGCCTGCATCAGTGTTTAATCAAAGCTTTCCAGGAAACTCTAACTTGTGGTGGGTAAGGACTTCCTGGGCTGAAGAAAGCAAAGCTTGATGTGGGATGTCCTTCTGTGCGTTGCAAATATGCGTTGCTTTTATTGGTTGATGAGCAAAGCTGTTTCAGCCAATGGCCAGGAAAGACATAGCTAGGCAGGAATTGCAAATATGCAGAGAGAAGGAAGGTGGGGTAGGGGAGACACCATGCAGCTGTCAAAGGGCATCACCCAGGTAAGCCACAGCCATGTGGTGATACACAGATTAGTAGAAATGGGCTAGTTTAATTGTAAGAGCTAGCCAGGAAGAAGCCTGAGCCATTGGCCAAACAACTGTAACTGACATTCAGTCTCTGAGTGGTCATCTTATAAGCGGCTGTGGGGATCGGTGTGCAGAGAAAAATCTGTCCAGTGGGACTGGGCAAGATGGAGAAAAGTCTCCATCTTACAGAGGCTCCCATGTGTTTAGTCTACAGAACGGGGTTTGCGGCTCCTGATCTATCCCGGAGCTCCTCAGCTGTCTGCGGGCAGGGCTCCAGGCACCCTGCTGCCCGTGGCTTCTGTCCTCTTGCCTCTCGTCCTAAGGCCTTCAGTGAGTTGGAGGGCAACCCAGTGACCTTCCTGTAGTAGCAGCTTTCAGCTTAGCCGTTATCACTGAGTCCTGGCCTATGTATTGTCTGGCCTGGCTAGAAAAGATAAGCCAGGCAGTGGCATTCTGACTGTTGGTCCACAAGTTAACTGACGTCCTTTAGAAAGTTCTCAGAGCTGGGTGGTGGTGGTGCACACCTTTAATCCCAGCACTTGGGAGGCAGAGGCAGGTGGATCTCTGTGAGTTCGAGACCAGCCTGGTCTACCAAGCGAGTTCCAGGACAGGCTCCAAAACAATACAGAGAAACCCTGACTCAAATAAATAAATAAATAAATAAATAAATAAATAAATAAATAAATAAATAAATAAGAGAAAGTTCTCAGAGTTGGAAGGTCCCAGGTTCTGAGCCTTGTTCCTGCCTGAAGAGAAGGGCCAGTGGAGAAAGCACCCCAGGCACAGCAAAAGGCAGGCAAGAAGCAGAGATGAGCGGCAGATAGCCCCTGCTTGAGGGCTCAGCCTGAGGCCTGTTTGCACGGCTTCTCTGGGGATACCTGGGAAACTTTTCTCCAGCCCTGGGAAAGACCCTCATCAGAGCCTGTTCTGGTTTTCCAAAGAGCAAACAGGATATGGCCTCACTACAAACAGGATATGGCCTCACTACAAACAGGATACAGATGATTCACTTTCTATCTTTCTATTTATTTATTTATTTATTTATTTATTCATTTATTTACAGTTTGGAGGTCCACGTGAATAGCAGGTTACAAAGGGGAAGCCAGAGCTCTAGTTATAAAATACAGTGTGGGAACCATCAGGGAACTTGAGTCCCTGTTTTACCGAAGAAAGGGGGAGTCCACAGGACATAAGTGTATTGGGGGATGGTGGCTTCTCTATATGGAATCTCTGTCCCAGAGCCCCTCATTCTCTGAGCCTCTGTCTTAACTACAGGTGTGGCCCCCACGGGTGGCAGCTCTGACATGGGGACATCCTGACTCTGATGACAAGTGAGACCCCTAAGTATCAGGTCCATGGGAAGCCTGCATTCATGATTGACACAGAGTAGCTGTGCTTCAGGGGGCCCCCAGTCCTTCCTGCAAAGCCCTCCTCCCCTTCCTCTCCTAAACCAGAGCTTTCTGTGACCCAGGTAACTCTCTATGCATAGAGAAGGACCAGCTTCTCCATACCCCAGCTCACTCCATCTTTCTCTCCTCAGCTTAGAAACCGGTACAAAAGAGACTAGTTCAGGCACCCGCACAGTGCCCGGAGCCCGACTGGCATCTGCTTCTGCACGTGGGACTCATTTTCTCTTCCTCCCACAAGCTTTTCTGAGTCTGTCTGTCCACACTCATTCTCTCTCTCCAGTGACACACAATGCACCCATCCACCTGTTCCAGGCGGTCCAAAACTTAACTCTAGGCTGAGCCTCAAACCAGGGGACTCCACAGGGAAGGGAGATGCCCAAGTAGATGGTGAGAAACCTTTTACTTTGCTCGGACAAGAGCCTGTTCCTTATAGTTCTGCAGTTCTCTCTATGGACAGTCTGCTAACAGCTGCTGCGCTGACTCAGTGATATCACAATAGGAAGTGAAGGAAACAGAAATGGGAGGATCGGGAGGGAGAGGGGGCTGGGAAACAAACTTGTTCCTAACTTAAAAAAAAAAGGAAGAGAAAAAAAAAGAAATGGGAGGATCTAGTCTTGTGCCACCCCTGCCTTGTTTTAAACAGTAAGCCAAGGATGAGTAAAATGTCTCCTTCCTTCGTCTAACACTAAAATACAGAGCACCTGGGTGTAAATGCCCGGCATATACTGGTTCCACGCTTCCAAGTCTGAGATCTCCAACTGCTGTCATGTAAGTGTCACAGCCGCAGTGTCCGCCTTCTGTCTAAGCACTGAGGCCCCCAAGGCTCTAGACACTGAAGACTGTATCTCATTTCCTTTTACATCCCAACAGCTGGTATCGTGGTCAATAGGTGACAGGAACAGATTGTTGCTGAACCAACGGATGAGGGGGCAGAAAGAAGCATATTGGCCACGCCCCTCTGCTCTATCCTCTTAGCGTTTCCCAAAGGTTAGCAGGACCCTCCCAGCCTCCCTGCCCCCCATCAGCAGCTTTCAGCCTTACCTCCCATGAGGAAGAGAAGGCCGGCCACGTACTGCATGAGGCCTCGGTCCCAGCAGCAGCCCAGCACACCGATGATCCAGCCGAAGAGGATGATGGCCACCGCCATGCCCATGAAGCCAGCCGTCATTCTACGCAGGTCTGTGAGGAAGCAGGAGGGACGCGGTTAGCATCAGAACCGGTGACAGGACAGGGTCAGGTGTACCCTAGCCCCGGGTGCAGGAAGACTACCTATTCAGACTTCTACACAGGAGAGCCACTAATGGTGACTGTCTCCTGACAGCCGGGTTCCTAGGCACAGGACAAGCACGTGGTCCCCAGTGGCTGTTGGCTCATCTCGCCTGTGCTAGGCAAGTACTGCTTTTTCTGTGGGTCGAGCCCACCCTTAAGATGCAGTCTTTGGTGTAGAGAATGGAGCCACTTGCTAAAAGGAACAACGTACGTGGAAGAAAGATAGTTGTGACTCATCACTGCATTAGTCAGCGTTTTGGGGGGGGGGCAAGAGCAGAGTCTCTGCAGTCAGGCTGCCTCTACTAGGCCTTCCCTCTAACCCAGAGTCTGCTGAACTGTGGAAGAAGTCACATGTGAAAATCTAGTGTGTGTGTGTGTGTGTGTGTGTGTGTGTGTGTGTGTGTGTGTGTGGAGGGGGGGTTGGTCCTTGGCTCCATCCCAACAAGCTGGCTCTTGGGGCTTCGTTTTGCCTGCAACCTTGGGAGCAGAGGAAGAACCACGTCTCCCTCTCCCAGCCTGAGCCCCTGGAGCAGCCCCTTCTTTGCACCTGCCTCTACCCTTCCACTCTCCGGTCAGCGGCCAGCTTCAGAGTGACATCCGTGCCTGCTCTACACCTCCATGGCCCGTCAAAGCCAGGAATGACTTGGTGAGGAAGGAGGTTGCAGGAAAAGTGGCGTTCACAGCAGAGGGGAGAGGGCAGAGCTGGTCCACACCTCTGATGGCTTCTTAGCATCTTGCCCAACTCAGCTTTTTCGTTGGCTTCTTCCCTCCTGTGACCAGGTGGCCCCAGACCGACTGCTGCACACCCCCTCTATGTGCTTGACTCCCGCCTGGACTTGTTCCCCCAAATGTTTCCCTTCTCTCGCTCTCCTTTTGTAAATCTGTCTCTTTACTTCCTCCTGGGGAGCACCGCACCCCATTATGCTGGCCGTTCCTTCCCAAGTCCGCCTGCACTCTCTCACGCCCGCACGCATTCAAGCCAGTTACACGGGCTCCAGACTGCTAACGGGGCACTAAGCGAGAGCAAAAACCATTTTGCTTGGCCTCTGCCCAGGCTGACTCCTCTGCAGTATCGCAGAGCATACCAGAGGATTTCGTGGGTATTTTGCTCTCACAAAGGAAGGGCAAAATGTCAGGGTGATAGAGACGGTGCTTGCCTGGAATCAAGATAGCTCACATCCACCGCTGGCTGCCCCAACGATCTCTTCTTGTCCCAGAGAAAGAGAAAGAAATGCAACGGGATTTCTGTGGGCCTGGGGAATTGTGTAACTCATCAGGAGACCACCCCTCCATCCATTTCCTCTCTTACATTCGATCCACTCCAACCCTCCCAGAGTCTCGTCTGTCTGTCTGTCTGTCTGTCTGTCTGTCTGTCTGTCTCTCACACACACACACTCACACGGACCTCTGCCTCTAACAGAGCATAATTTGAGTCAAGATCCCTTGAGGGATCTAGTCTCTTTGTTCTGACAAGGAAAACCAGACATTGTCAGCCCCAGCCCAAGGATCTGGTTAAGATGGGAGGCACAGACATGGAGGGCAAACAGTGGCTGGTCCTCCCATCTGGGAAGGAGGCTCCCCCAGCAGTGGACAGTTGGTTCCCTAGTCCCAGAGGCTGAGATCTTGAAAGGGGCTGCAGAGGAGACACCTGCCCTGCCTGGTTCTCCCTTGCCTCCCTGAGCACATAGCAGGCCTGTCCCAGCCAGGTGGAGATAACACCCTACACTCACTTCTGTGAGTTGCCAAGGAAGCCTCATTGTCCCGCAGCACTGTGCAGATTGCTCAGACTGCCAAATGAGTCAGGCAAAGCTTTGTTGAAAGAGCCATTTGATGACAATACTAACACATGAGCCAAGCCTCCTGCACAGCTTGCCATAGCTGAAAAGGAAGGAACCTCCCTGCGCATGGGCCACTCCCAGTTCCTATGGCCCGTGCATTGCCTGCTCCTACATTTCCATCACCACAGACACACTCACTGCCACCAGCCCTGACTAGAATCCCTTCTCTCCTCACCACAAGGGCCCTGTGGTGAACTGCCTCGTCAGTGGAGAACGTTCTCAAGTGAACATATGAGGCCACCCGGATTGATTCCTGGGAACAGGATGATCTGTGATTGAGATTTTACCCTCTGCTTTCCTGAAAGGCAAATGGCAAAGGGAAAGAGTCCAGGTCTCTCACTGGGAAGGTTAGTATCTGAAACAGAAGGCACTTAAAGTCGGTAGCTTCTCCTGCGTTTCTCCCCTCTTCATCCCAAGAAGGCTTCTGGGTCTTGTCCACTGTGACCCCAGTAAGCTTATTAGGCCTCTCTTCCGGGGGCCAAATTCTATCTGGACTCCAATGTCTGGAAGTTCTACATTGTTGTCTCCAGGCTCTATAGACCCTTGAGAGCAAAGATATTGCCTAAGGGACTGAGTGGATGGACAGTCACATCAGGTGAGTCTACACCCACACCAGCCAGAGATGGACCAGTGGGAGGATGGACCAGTTGGTGAGGCAGGAAATCTAAAGAGAATGCCAACCATAAAAAAATAGCAGGTGACATTTATTGAGGGATGAGAAAAAGGTGTTTTACTTGGGAGAAACTAGGAGGGGGCAGAAAAACAGGGAGATGGAGAAAATGATGTTTTTCCAAGAGCTCTGAGCAGACGCTGGTCATCTGGGTCTCAGGCAAGGGAGGGGCAGTTGCCTTCTCTCTCTCAGCGTAGGTAAACTTCTGTGTCTCCCACAGGGTATTGATGACTGAGGTAAAGGGTTGTTCTAAGTTGTTGATGTGGAAGCAGGATAAAAAACAGAGATCCTGACTGCATTTTCATTGACCCAGAGAAGATTTTCACATCACCCTGGAGTCTGACATTGTCCAACCTCTGCATGAACAACCGGTTCTTTTCTCCATGGAAAGTTAACTGAGTTATCTGTGTGGTAGCTCAGGCAAGCCGCTGTACTGGGTCAGAAGGCAGGCAGGCAGGACAAGAAATATTCCAATTTTACAGATGAGAAAAAAAGGCAAGATCCAAAGACAAATAAATAAGTTATTGACAGTCTCAAGGCTAGCGGACTGCAAATAGAGTTAACAACTGTATTATTGAGTTGTGTGCGAAAATGGGATAAATGAAAGAATTAAAATTGATGAGAACAAATGCAGTTGGCACCCTTTCCTCCCAAACCAACCCAGAACCATACTTGAGACACCGGGAACAAGGGAAAGGAGATGCCAAGAAGAGTGGGAACTGTGAAACTCGTGGGTGGTAGAGATGGCTGGGCGGAACCCAAAGGTAGTATCAGGGAACCCATCTGCAGGATTCCCCACAGGCTCCCCAGCTCATCCATACGGGGCCTTTTAAACTCGGTGGTGAACAGAGGAGGGGTGAAACTGGTATTCTGAGGGGGTTATTTGAGAAGGAATGAGAGTCTCAGGTCCTCTGACCACTCCACACCACCAAGGAGCACCCATTTCTCTCAACTTCCGGGACACTGAACAAAGCACTTAGAAATGGGGTAGGGCACAACCTCCACCAAGGGTTGGCTAGGGCAAGCGAGGACAGGGTTCCTTGCTGAAGTTCATGACCAACCCTGTGTGACTACTGGGTGTAAAAATCTTACCATCGACACACCTCTCCAGCCCTCTTCTGTTTGGTGTCCAGAAGGTGGTTGTTAGACTCACACCCGCCCCCAGCCTAGGCTGGGTAAGTGGGGTTTCTCGTGCACGATGGACAGCCCATTGCACCATGGGACTCTGAAAGCAAAGGCGCTGCCTAAGAGATTGAGTGTAAGGCGGGTCCCAAGTTGACATCACTTCCCTCACTGACTCATTAGTCCTCACAACTCTTTAGCACCCCACTTTCAAACCTGAGCAGGTAAAGGTGCTTGCTGCCAAGCCTGACAGCCTCCGTTCGATCCCTGGGACCTGTGCGGCGGAGGGAGAGAACCGTTTGTTCCCACACGTTGTTCTCCAGTTCCTCCCACACAAGACTTAGCACGTGCACACCTGCATTCATGCACCAGCATCATGCACATTCGCACCCTAAACAAACAAATGTTGATACCCTCAGAGAGACCGAGAGCTGAAAGACATCGCTTCCAGAAAGGAAAAACTGAATACTTTAAAAACAAAACAAACAAAAATACCGGCTAGATAGCCAAGCATGAAATAGAATGACAGAATAAAATAAAAAAAAAAAAACAAGGAAATTTACAAATAGTCCAATTTGAGCATTTATTATTCCAAAAAATACCCACACTACAAGTGCATGAAATTATGACATGAGCCTGGTTTTTCTCTCAGGAGGCTGAGACAGGAGCTGAAGTTTGAGGCCAGGCTAGATTATAGAGCAAGTTCCAGGCTGGCCAAACGTCTGAGTGCTGCCTTGTCTCGAAACACACTCCAAAGGGACAGGGGTTACAGGCAGTGGGGGAGTGCTGCCTAACCTGCGTGGGACCCCGGGTACGAGGACCAGAGCAGGAACAAGGGAGAGCAAGGGGTAGGGGGAGGGGGAGAAAAAAAAGAGATAAACAAACGAAGGGATGAATGAGGCAAGAAAGAAGAAGACAATGCCTAGCTTTGATTCCTACCCAAAATGTGGTCCGCGGGTCTCTGGCGAAGGCTATCGCATTCCTGTTCCAATGTAGAGGTCTTAGAGTGTATTCTGTCTGTTGTTTAACAACCTCTCATGCTTCCTGCTTGCATTTGAGTTAGTGCCACTGTCACTCTGGGGTCACATGCAGACGGAGTCACAGCTTCTCTTTGACCTACCTACTATTGCATACCTTTAAGAATAAGGGGCTAGCACTTAATTCCTGTGGTTTTCCTTGAGCCCACAGCAATACCTTGTAATCAGGAATGTGGTTCGTATTCTTTCCCCTTCACTTACTGACCCATAGAGGAAGAAGAAACAAATGGAAAGAGGAGAAAA